TAAACCCTAAACCCTCTAAACCCTGTTCTTTTGGCAGGCTCTAGGCTTCGACCTGCAAGGGCGCAAATTCATCGGGTAGAGCGGGGTCGGATTGCACCTGCTGGATCAGCCCTACCCATAGGGCCCCAAGTAGTTCCNNATCCTATAAGGCAATCCCAAAAAAGAGCTACTTAGGCGCCTGTGGGTAGTTGATGGCGAAACGCCGAATGCCGTAGTGCTCCGAACGACGGGTCTGCTATGTCAAGGCTTATAGGGTTTAGGGCTTTGGGTTTAGGAACCCTAAAACCTTAGACCCAAATCTCTAAATCAGGGCGCTATAAGACACTTAAAAGCAAACCTGCATACATAGGGAGGCCTCATCGTCCTGGGACAGCACCACAAGTACCTCCGCTTTAGGGTGCTAGCGCTGGGAGCTATACACCTTTAGAGTAGCAGGGTGTTGGTTGTGGGATTTTAGGGTGGGATTCAGGGAATGGGCGGTATAGGTTTCGGTGGTTCGGGGGACAAACTGGATGGGAAACGTGTTTGGGGTTTGGGGCATTAGATGGTATTTCTGGAGCTGATCTTGGGACTGAGGTTTACCAGGTGTGCATTTCAATTCTTCATAGTACTGCATATATATATATACACATATGCATATATATATATATATACACTATATACTATAATTACGTAGAATTGTCAGAAAAAACAGTACCGAATCAGAATCAGCACTTAGTTTCCGGTTCATGCTCCCACCCTCGAGGGAACCGAGACACCTCAAGACATTCTTGTCTTTGGCTTCAGACACCTGGGATTACGTCACTGAAGAGCCTACTGCATACAGTAGGTTTGGGTCAACGTAGGAACTGGACTATGGGAGTTTTTGGTGGTTGAGGGAGGGTGGAGGGTCGGAGGTTTCAGGGCTCAACATAGGCACCTGAACAATTAGGATGAGCCTTTGGGTCATCAGGCTGTGGCTACATAACCCTACACCCTAAACCCTAAAATCTCTAAAACATGTGTTTTTTCCATTCGTGAGGCTCCTGCTTTAGCGCGCAACACATGAACCCTACACGTTCGGCGATCCGGGCACAGGGTTTGGGGCGTTTGTTTCGGGAATGGGACAGCGGGAGGACCAGACGACGGAGAAAGTAGGTTGGCCAGCCAGCCAAGTACAGTAATTAAGTCTATTGCATAGTCTAGTACAGCAAAGTAGAGTAGCGTATAGTATATAATGCAGTATAGTCTAATGTCAGTATACCTATGACCTATGCCCACCTGGAACAAATACTGCTTTGCCCTCAGCATGCACTGCGCTTCTACTACCCGGGTGTGCCGCACACCTGGCAACACCCTGAAAGATACCCCTGGAATCCCTAAACCCAGAACTCCAAATCCCAAACCCTAAACTGGAAGAAAAGGAACCCCTACAAAGAACTACCCTTGACCCGTCAGGCTACGAACGAAAGCTGAGGATGATACTCATGGTCGCTATAGCGATCATCGCCTTACTACTGTTGATGATATAAATCCTGCATTTGTACCGTAAGGACCATAAACTATGGGAGTTGTGGTACACTCCTTATTATGGGTAATGCAGGATTTATATCATCAACCGTAGCACCCATCCTTCCGACCCCAGGATCTCGAGAAAAAATGATCTGGAAATATCGAATGCCGAGAGGAAGGAACAGGGTGTAAGGGTTTGGCAGCTTGTGGCTTTACAGTTGAAATATAGCGGCTTTAATGAGCAGAAAAAATTTTGAGGGTATATATTTTACTATATGTTTAATAGGAACCTCAAAACAGTACTGGTAATTCTTGAGGGCCTATATTAGGGATTAGGGCTTGTGCTCCTCCACCATGCATACATCTCTATTCTGAAACCCTGCGTACCAGAGCTTCCACACCTCCTGTAAGGCATTGTATCATAAATTATGCATATATATATATACATACATATGTATGTATCCGAAGAACAAACGAGCTAAATAGCTAATAATAGATTAACTGACTGACTTTCTGAGTGACTGACTGGCTGGCTGGCTAGCTGGCTGGCTGGCTGGCTGGCTGATTGACTAACTATTTCGCTAAGCAACGAACGAACAAAAGAACCAAAGAACGTTGTAGCCGCGAGCCGGCCGGCCGCAGCTAACTGGCTGACTGGTTAACTACAGCAAACCCTGACTCATAAACTTAAAAATGTTCTACACACATATATGCATATATACATATATATATATGTATATATATATATGTATACACATATTACATATTATATATATACACATTAAATATAGATATATACACACATGTTTAGGTATTGGAAGCCATATATGTCTGTATATCTATGCATGGATCGATAGATGGATAGCTGGATGGATGGATGGATGGATGGATGGGTGGATGGGTGGATGGATGTGGACGGATGGATGGATAGATGGATGGATGGATGTGTACGGATGGATGCATGGATGGATGGATGGATGGATGGCTGGCTGGATGGATAGATGGATGGATAGATCGATGGATGGATGGATGGACGGATGGACGGAAGGACGGATGGACGGGTGGAGGGACGGATGGACGGATGGACGGATGGATGGATGGACGGATGGATGAATGAATGGACAGATGGACGGATGGACGGAGGGACCGACCGATGGATGGATGGATGGACCGATGGATGGATGGATGGATGCACGGACGGAGGGATGGTAAAATCCATGCATGCATGTGTGCATCCTTCGTTGAACAGCAAGACACTGAGCCGACTGAGCCCTGAGCATGGAGAGAAACATGTTGGCACTGGCTTCTGGGCGCACCTTCATAGCCTCTGCGTTGCGCCCGAGCTCCACAAGGGCTTTGGCTTTCCTGAGGGGCTCTCTCTTGGAGCCCGACCCAAAAAAAACCAGCCCCTTTACTACAATTTACGATCGCTCAGATGCTGAACCAGGGCAAAAGGTGCCCTATCCTTTACTGCAGATCTGGAGCTCGAAAACCTGAATGCCCTCGACCGACTTCTGAAAAGGATCCTAGTCTATTCGGGCTTTAGAAGCTGGCAACATAGACATCGTAGCATACGTGCTGCTACACGCCGGAAGCAGATGACAATATGAGTTCTTACCAATAGGAGAGTATCAAAGGATGATACTACATGTAAACTATCCATAGGCCCCTAAGTAGTTCCTTTTTATGGTCTATATTTAGAAATCCCCAAAAGGAACTACTTAGGGGCCTATGGGTAAAGCTGTGAGCAACTGGGGTACTCACCTGTAGGTGGCCTTCGCATGGGCCGGATCTTCCTTGGCAACGGCAGGTCTCACATCTCGAGAGCGACACTAAGACCGACAGAGGGAGGGTTTAGGGTTTTAGGGTTTTAGGGTTTTAGGGTTTAGGGTTTAGGGTTTAGGGTTTACGGTTTAGGGTTCAGGGGGTCATTTCGGAAAGGTGAGAGAGCGTGCACAGAGGCCCGTATTTGAAACCAGCCGCTCAGACACTCAGCCGTGGAGACCAGCCCCAGTCACTCAGACACTCAGCCACGCAGGCGCAGCCCCAGTCACTCAGACA